GTGACAACTATTTGAGAACAAGCCCACATTAAAGTAGTTTGAGGCCCTGACGCACTTATTTTGTTGAGGCCCCTTGAATACGATACAAGCAAATTTAAAGTTAATTATAATTAATAGATATTTAGTTAATTACTGAATATGAGCTAATTATTCGAAGTAAATTAGAACATGATATATACAACTTTTAAGGATGATATATTACATTAAACGATTATACTAATAATTATTTACTTGTACAACATGGCAAGTAAGAACTAATTAGGTACATAAAAAACAATATAGTTGTTACGTCTCGGTTCGTTAGTTAATTCTCCGTAACTTCGTTCCGACGAAACTTTAGCGACACAAGTCCTTTCTTAAATAAAGCTGGTTTATTCTTTACGATACACTTAATTCCAACAGTCGCTCTATAACAAACACTATGATTCACGTCTCACGTAGCCAACAATATTTTGTCTGCATACATTCAATTACTTATTACACTGTTGTCCCGTCATGTTGTGAAAGTCATATATATACAAGACTAACACATATCTAGTAAATGCTAGGGCATTCTTGAAAGAACAGGATATTTCTAGAAAGAGGTGGCGTGATACTAGTCACGTGACCTCGCTGACGCAACATAGTTATTGTACAACATTACGGAAGAATAACAAAACATAACCCTATTTTTTTTCCTTGCTTTGGCGGAAGCAAAATCTCTAATTATATCTTCATAGTCTATTTGCATAAACAATGTCCTTTCTATCGCGAGCAAGGAAAGGGCATGTAAATTTTAAGTGTTCAATTAACACTGAAGCACGCAATTTATTTGTTACTCTAACCATTTTAGAAGAAGCTCTCTCTGCACTGCAATTCGTGGCGGGTAGGCCACGTCGATATTAGGAAAAACAGATTCGAGGGTGTTTTTTCTGATTGCTTTGATGCATTGTTTGGCGGATGGTGTTTTACTATCAACAAATTTCGCAAACTGTACCATTTCATCGGGAAAAGAGTTGTCTAGATGTGGGGAGTATAAGTCTCCCAATCTTTTAGCTGCAGCAAAATATTCAGCCTCATTTCAATTTTTGAAATTAGATAGAAAACCAAACTTAATTCTGTCGCTTGTTAGGCAGCAAGCCGATTTTCCAAACACATTTATAACTTGTCAACCACCGGTATAAAAAATTTTACGCAAAACTTCTGAGCTTCAGATAAACTCATTTCACCTTCAGAAGTCTCATCATTTGCCAGCTTTCTTTTTCTCTTTCTAGAAATCTCACTCCTGAACTGTTCTTCTACTATATTTGAAAACTTTATACAGTGAATTTACATATTACTTCAGCGAACTGATAAGCTTTACAGTAGTAGACAAATCAAGGCTCTTTTCTTGAAGCTTAGCACTTGTATTCATCAAAGCAGTAGTTTCGTTTCTTACTGTTTGCCAGACCCCAGTGATACAGCAGTATATCTGCGGACTTACAACGCTAGAAACCGGGTTTCGATACCCGTGGTGGGCAGAGCACAGATAGCCCATCGTGTAGCTTTGTCCTTAACTTCAAACAAACAAAATACTGTTTGCCTTGTATCAATATCCTTTTTTACCCATTCTCCACGCCTACCTCTATATGCTGTAAATTACAGTTTGTTAATATATTTTTGTAAGGCCGACTCCTGTTAAATTTATAACCAATAGTTAGCTTAGATTTCAATTGATTGACTGGTATATGTTTTATACCACGTGATGTTACAGATAATTGACAATTTAGCTGAAGAGAATTTTTTTCCAACGAGAACATAGTGGGTGTTGAATTTCTAACTGCTCAAGTCACGTGATTAGAGAGCCAGAAAATTTCTCACAGAAAGACC